ATAGTTTTTTGTGTGACCGTGTTTTCATTTCTCCAGGGTAGAGAACCAGCAAGTGGAGTTGTAGGGTCATAAGATGGTCATATAAGTATGGTTGACCTTTTGAGGAACTGCCAAACTGTTTTCCAAAGCAGCTGCACCATTTTACATTTCCCACCAGGAGGATACAAGATTCCATTTTCTCCATAACCTCACCAATACTTGTTATTATCTGTGTGATTATAGCCCTCTGTTTGGCGGGGGGAGGGAGGAGAAATGGTACCTTACTTGGTTTGAGTTGCATTTTCTTCATGATTAATGATATTGGGCATCATCTTTGTGCACTTTGGTTATTTGTATGTCTTTGAAGAACTCTCTGTTGAAATCTTTGTCCTGTGTTTGACTTGAGTTTCTGAATTGTAAGAGTTCTTTATATATTCTGGATACTAATATCTAATGGATATAGGATTTGTAGTTTTCTTTCCTCTATTTTATGGGGTGTCTTTCACTTCTTTGACAGTATCTTTTTATTTTTACTTTTTTGTAACAGATGGACACAATACCTCTATTTTATGTATTTCTTTTATTATTCTATTTATTTATTTTATTATTTTATTATTTTATTTATTATTAGGTGCCTAGGATTGAACCCAGTCCCTCACACGTACTAGGCAAGCGCTCTGCCATTGAGCCACAACCCCATCCTTGACAGTATCTTTAAAAGCTTTAAATGTTTTTAATTTTGATGAAGTTCACTTTATTTTTTATCTTTTATTGTTCATGTTTTGGTGTCAATTATAAATATTACTTATTCCAGAGGTTATGAAGATTTACATCTATGGTTTTTTTGGAAGAATTTTATTTTCCATTTACATTTAGGTTGTTATCCATTTTGAGTTAATTTTGACCACCATTCATTCTTGCTTGTTCTAATTAATGTTCCTCACAAATCCAGAAGGATCTCAGAACTTAAAAGCAGGTTGTGTCATTTCCCTTCTTGGTGTCATCACTGGCTTCCCACCTTACAGAGAACAGAATCCAGACTCTGGGCCATCAGGTGGGCTGGGCCCCATGTGATCTGCCGGCTTCCCACCTCATTAGCCAGCCTCATCTTCATCTTGTCTCCGCTCTTTTGGTCACCACAGTGCAGCCATGCTAGAGGCCTCAGTGGCTCTAGCAGGCCAAGTCTTATGCTATCATAGGATTGGCCATTTTTTTTTTCTGCATCCGTTCCCTCTGGTGATCATTGTCCCGTCACTCCTTCGGAGGGCCCTCCCTTGCTGACTCTTCCTCATCTCACTGCACTGCAGGAGACTGATAGTTCTCTTTGCCTTTTGTTGTCTAGAGTTTGTTTTCTGCCTCCTTCCCTGGAAGGTAAGGACTGGTCCCTGTTTATTCAGCCGTATTGGCATAGCTCCCGGCACCGTGCACACTCAGTAAACACTTGTATGGGTAAATGAGTGACATGCTCAGTGTGTTTAAGATCTCTTTCAGTAGATTACAAAGTGAAAGATTAATTATTTTATTTATGGCATAGTAATTTGGTCTTAATTCTTCCCATAGGACGGAGGATAAGAAATAGAACTTTTCAGTGGTTAGGCTATTTATAGGTAGATATAAATTTTTCAAGGGAAAAATGCTGTTTGAAATGATTTGCCAAAATATTTATCTCAGGAATCAGAACTTAAAAAGGAATACTTCAAGATCAGAAGTTACATGATAGTGATTTGTTATGTGTCTTTTAAACCTTTCTTTTCCTATACTGCTGTAACAAAGTTGCCTTGCTTCAAAACAAACAGCTTTACAACCATTATTAAGGTAAGATTTATTGTTATTTTATGTATTTATTTATTAATTTAGGTACCAGGGATTGAACCCAGGGGTGCTTAACCACTGAGCCATATCCTCAATCCTTTTTAATATTTTAATTAGAGAGAGGGTCTTGTTAAATTGCTTAGGTCCTTGCTAACTTGCTGAGGCTGGCTTTGAACTTGCCATCTTCCTGCCTCAGCCTTGTGTGCCACCATGCCCAGCCCTGAGATCTTAATACTATCTCCTTTCAACATAATTGAATAAGATTCTGTGGTAGGATTTTACCATGAAATTAAACATCTTTAAAGTGCATTTAGAGTGGGGAGGAGGAGGGACCGTCGAGCTTTGGGCATTCTGCTGTGGGTAGTTCTTACCTTAACAGCTGAGATCTGGTCGAAGTTACCTTGAAGTCAAGTTGGGAACATTGGCTAGTTGTGGGAGAATAGCATTTCATGAATAGTTTGGGAAGAACATATGAAGGAAAGTCCTTTTCCTGTGCTCTATTTTGAAGGCCTAGCTCATTTTGTAAATTCATTCAGTATTTTCCCTTTTCTGAGGCCCCCTAAGCAGCATTTCCTGCATTTTATTAAAGTGATCTCCTGATGGAAAAATGATGTACATGCTTTTAATTATATATAAATGGCACACCTGAATTGCCTTGTTCGAAACCCTCAAGGTTGCCATTATTGACAATTGCTGCTCTTTAAAGTAGAATCTTATTTACTTCATTTGTGCATGTCCCCCAAGGTCAGCCAGTTCCTTGGATTCATTAGGAGCAGTGTCAATGTTCTTATGTTACATGTAGAAGAGACAGTAAATTTGAAACAAAACCAGCTCAAAGATTTGGACCTTATTAAATAAATCAAAAGAAACTAACAAAAAATGAATTGTTGGAATTCACACGGGGGAGAGGGTGGTCCTGGAGAGTAGAGTGGGCAGTTGGGACCCAGATGGAGAAGTAGTGCCACCTCTTGTAGATGTGGTTCTTGACAGCCTGTGTAATGGCTGCCACTTTGTTTTTCTATTTGGGTCAACAAATTTTAGAACATTTTATGACTATTTAAAGATTGTCACTATTGGCCACTCTAGGGAAGTTAAAAGTGTTTATGAGCTAGGTGGCTATGTGTTCCATAGCTGGTTTTGGTCTGTCTTTTCTAAGTTGACCAGCTGGATTACTGATAGGTATTTGTCCCACTCTCAGACAAACTGGTAATTTGTAGCTCGCCTTTGGTTAATTGTATGTGCTGCAGTATACTTTGGTTAAGTCTCACCCATATTTAAAGGGCTATTGATTTTAGCTCTTCAGCAATGTGAGATTTTTGTACTAGATGTTCTTGGACTTTTAAGGTAATACTATGTTCAGTTATCCTGGCTTTGTATTTCTTAAGTTTGAATCATCCCACGATTTGAAAAGAATCAGTGATCAAAGAGTTAGTGCTCTGTTATTATCTTTGAAGTCCGTGACGGCACATGTAAACCTCTTTATGCCCTTGGAATCTCAGTTGAACTGTCATATGTAATAGTACATTAGTTTTTCTTTTCCTGAGTTAATGTGCCAGACAGAATAGGTGAAAACCCCAAGCTGTGCACCTGTTTGAAGTACCTTGAGCCTGAAATCTAAGGGCTCCAAGGAGGGTTGTCTGCAGTGCCTCTTCTGTTGGCGCTTAGCTCTCTGGCTGGTGTGTTTCTCGCCATTTACCTTGCTTAACCTCCAAAATTCAACAGAAGAATAGCTCTGGCCGGCTGCTTAATTTTATTATAGGCCAGAAGTCCTTGCTGGATGCCAGGTCTTCTGAGTTTATTCTTTTAGTTGAAGAAACTAAGTTTTATTTCAAAGTTCTCAGAGAAACAGCTATGTGGAAATATGTGTTTATAGTGCTTGAAGTTGGAGGATATAGTTTTGATTTATAGATATTTAGCCTCTTACATGCTGATTATCTGAAGTGATGAAATACCTCACATTGTTATTGGATGGTTTAAATGAGTAAAGGTGTGATTTGCTTCATGGCAAATCATAGTTAAAATTGTTGACTACCATTATTTGTGCTCTCGTTGTACTGCACAGTGTGCTGAGTCCATTACAGATACTGTCTGATTGAACCTTCTCAGCACCTGCACAGTAGGTAATGTGAACCCCACTAATTCGTGAGAAATTCAGAGAAGCCAGTAATAGCCCAGGTCATCTTGGAGCTTCTCAGCGATGTCAAGATTTGAGTCTAGTATGTGTGAAAACCTTTTGTGGTGAAGCTCCTGAAAACCTTTTGTGGTGAAGCTCCTCTCCTTATAGAAGGCTCCAGTCAAAACAAATGATCATTTTGTTTGCATTTCTTTGAAGACTGGTAACTGATTTTTCCATTTGTTAACAGCATTTTCTAGGCAAGTGCTCCATCACCAAGCTGCACCCCCAGCTACTTGGAGGAGGGAGAGAGAGAGAGAGAGAGAGAGAGAGAGAGAGAGAGAGAGAGAGAGAGAGAGCGCGCTTGCGCGCACACATGTTGGGGGCATGCATGGACTTGCGACGCTGGGTATCAACCCAGGCCTTGCACCGGCAAGTGCTGTGTGCTGAGCTGTATGCCCAGCCCTGTGGGCAGTGTTTGCTGTTGGTAATATGTTGGTGGATATCCTTTGTCTGTCTTTTGGGACTGCTCCTGACTGTGAGGAAGTTGCATAAGCTTGGTGGGTGCTAGTCATGTATGCAGCCCTTTTCATATTACAGGCAGCAAGTGACAGCCACCTGTGAAGCCTATAGGATTTTATAATTGGTTATGTTTGAATTTCTCATTTTCTGTGTGATCTTTCCCATTGTCACTATTTGACAGGCCTTTTCTATAAAACATATTAGACTTTTATTTAGAGATATTCTCTTATTCTGGGGCTTTTTGTGGTTCAGGAACTAGCATAATATAGTTTCACTACATGAGAATTTTGTGTTGTAGTAATGTGTAGCTAGGGCAGCTTGGTTAACTCTCAGATTTCATACCAGGGGAATAATTAAAAAACTCCAAGAAAGAATTCCTTCTATTTAAAAATTTAAAAACAACAGAATCCCTTTATATAGTTTAACTTTCTCAATCATTTTGTTACTTTTTATGTTAATTTTTTACCTGATTAATCTACAGTAATGATCACATTTAATAAAAGTATTTTTTGATACAAAAAAGTTAATGACTGAAGTGAAAATACATACAATCTCAATCTCTCTCTCCTTACAGCAAAGTTCCCACCTTCGTGAGGATGATTGCTCCTGAGGGCTCCTTGGTGTTTCACGAGAAAGCCTGGAACGCCTACCCCTACTGCAGGACAAGTAAGCCTCGTCCCCAGCAGCACTTCACCCCTCTGCGCTGAGGAGGAGGAGCGAGGACTCCCAGTGCCCGGGTGTCTGAGAAGGGTTGTTTGAGTGATGGCAGGAGAGTGGCTACATTGGGTTCATCTCCCAGACCTTGTGAAGGGCATGGGGTTTACTCCCAGATGATAGTCACACTGATGTCCTTGCTGACTGTGCTGGCTCTAGGGTGAGCAGATGCATACTTTGAGATCCTAAAGAAAGCTCACCCACACTCAGAAGTTCTGTTTGGTGGACTTTCAACAGTAGTTTACGTACGTTGCCACGTGACAGGAGAGGGAGATGACAGACTTCTGAAACATCTGCTGTCATTTGCTAAATTAACTCTATAGTGTTTTTCTCTTGTGACATTATTCTTTTAAGCTTTATTTTATTTCTTCAAAATTTATCTTAGTTGTCAATGGATCTTTATTTTATTTATTTATATGTGGTGCTAAGAATCGAATCCAGTGCTGGGCAAGTGCTCTACCCCTGAGCCCCAGCCCCAGCATTATTTTAAAGTTACATTAGTCTCCATATTTTATTTGGACCTCATAATCTAAGGTATCCTATGGTGTCACTTGTGTACAAACTGTATTTTGAAAACATAAGCTACTAAATGTTCTGTGTTTTCAGGTAGTTTAGTCTTTGTGGCATAAAATATTGGGACAGATTGTTTTGACTCCAATTAATATTCTGAAATTTTTCCTGTTTCATTGCCTGCCTCCATTGTGCCTCAGTTGTAACGGTGAGTAAAACTTTGTGTTCCATTCTCTTATCTTTATTTAGTCCATATTGTAATTTTTAATTTTTTGGTAATTATCTTGTTTTTGTTTTTAAACTAAAACTACCCATTGCTTCATGGCTCCCTCCCCCCAAGTCCTGCTCCACCATATGTCCCCGGGGCTAATGGGCTCTTTCCAGTCTTCTCTCCAGATCTCCCTTTTGATTTCATTTTGCTTTTGCTGCCTCCTTTTAGTGCCAGATTTACTGACCAAACCTCATAGCTGCGTTTACTATATTATTATGTTAGCCCTATAAGCTACGTGACAAGTAGGACTGTTTACATTATTTAGAAGCATGCAGCATTTAGTTTGCTTGACAAGTCTGTAAAGATCAGTAGCTAATGATCGTTAGTCACTTGAGGTAGATCTCTTGGTAGAGTCAAAGCATGGCATGGTGCTGGTGCTGGTGCTGGAAAAGGCTCCTGTGTACACAAGCCCCGGAGAACTGGTGAAACATCATGTCATGTTTCTCTTGTGTTTTCTACAGAATGAATATATGAAAGATGATTTCTTCATTAAAATTGAGACATGGCACAAACCAGACTTGGGAACATCAGACAACGTAAGTTGTGAGGGCTGGGAGGAGGGTAGCCTGAGACAGGCATTATCACCCCATGTACATGGATGGCCACACTGCTGGAGTGACTGCACCCTGGGCAGCAGGAGGAAGGAGAAGCTGTGCTCCATTTGTGTATACTCCACTGTCACCTAGGGCCAACTAGAACAAATAGTTCTAGGTAAAAGAAAAAAAAGAAAAAACATTAAGTTGCTGCTCCTCACTTTTCAGCGCAGAAACCCTTGGAAAGGGAATTACTGTGTCTAGTGTATTCTGTCGTTAACAAAGTGAAGTTACCTGCATCAGACTAGCCGCTGGCCGCATCAGATGGTGTCAAATTTAGGTGAGGCAAGCAAGCAGCCAGAAACGGGGGGCTTTCCTTGTCAGTCTCTTGCCATGACACTGTCTGGAACCGGGAGAGAGTGGATCATCAAAGTTCACTGATAATCCCCCAACCTAGTTTTAACCGTTAGTGTACAATGCCTTCATCTCTGTGTACTTGCCAGAGTTGCTCTAGCATAACGGAATGATTGCTTTCATTTTTACCTCCTACCCACTTTACTGGAGTATGGGTTGGTTGATGTCAGAGAAATGACCAGAAGTCAGGAGGGAGAAGGTTCTTTGAATAATTTACAAAAATGTTGGCAAGCTTCAAGAATCAGCTAGGACGGGACTTATGGTACATGCCTGTAATCCCAGCGGCTTAGGAGGCTAGGGCAGGAGTTCAAAGCCAGCCTCAGCAACTTAGCAAGAGCTAAGCAACTTCAGTGAGACCCTGCCTCTAAATAAAATACAAAATAGGGCTGGGGGTGTGTGGCTCAGTGGTCGAGTGCCCCGAGTTCAATCTCCAGCACCAAAAAAAAAAAAAGAACATCATCTTGGACTCAGAGACATGATTCTTAAGGCTTGTTGGGAAATGTGAAAAGGGCATCTGGCATCCTTGGTGGATGCACTGGCAATGTGTGGTCCCTGGGCCAGCAGCAGCATCTGGGAACTCATTAGGAATGCAGACTCAGTCCCCACCCAGAGCTCCTGGATCCCAAGCTCTAGAGTGGGATCCAGGAGTCGTTTTTTTGATGTACACCCCAGTTTGAGAACTACCATTCCAATCATAGGATATACTGTTAGTGGTAACGATTGTGGTAAATTCTATTCTTATTGTTCTAGGATTGTGCTCTTTTGTAATTGATGCCTTCTAATAGAACTTTTGAATTTTAATTTGTAGTACTTTAGTTTTCTTTCAAGTGATCATTTGACATTTCATGGGTTTTCATAGTAATTCTCTAAACTTTAGGGTTTGGATGAGATAGTTTGGTGTGTTTTAATTCATGTGTGGGTTAGTTAGTCTGCCATTTTCAGCTCTCAAGTGGGTGTATCTGTTGGCAGTTCTTAAACAATGCTTAATTGGTTCATGAAGTTTCAGAAATAAAAGACCAGCAATAAGGCATAGAGGAGTCAACATCATACTGAAAATGAATCGCTTTGGGTATAGCAAATTCAGGAGAGGTTTTGGAGTGTACAGTGCAGCCTGAAGCCTGATTCTGAGACTCCTTGTATTAGCACGTGACCTACAGCTTTGAAGACTTTGTTGTTTTAACACAGGTCAGATGAGAACTACCACCAGGTGACATTGACAGATTTCTTTCATGTGTCAGTGTCCCCCCTTATTTGGGGGTGCTTAAGGCTGTAATAATTCCTAGATCCCTCGAGATCAGACAGCTAATATGATAGGTAATTTGCATTTTTTTCATTCCCCATAATGTATTCTAAGATTCATGATGGAGATTATACATGTAAGTGTGATAGTTTTACCTAACAAGAATAATCTAGATTTTGTTGTTTCATTTCTCTTTGTTGTTTATAGGTACACAGTTTGGATCCAAACACATGGAAAACTGTCGAAATTGTCCACATAGATATTGCAGATCGAAGTCAAGTTGAACCAGCAGTAAGTAAAATGCCACTTGATGACATTTTAATGTATCCCCATTTACATGTAAAAGTGATTTTCTTTCTTTCCTTTATGACCTGTATTTGCACACTGAAATAAGCCTGGAGCTCAGCCTCAGCAAAGAGATTCAGAGTGAGAGAAGGCAACTTGTTTCTGTGTGTATCTTGCCTCTGTGCAAGTGATCCATTTTAAGAAATTACAGTATAGCTGGTGTACACAGGTGTGTGTTTTTATTGAAAAAACATTGTTTACAGAAGTGTTCTCTCTGGAGTTCTTTTTATTTTTTATTTGTTCTGATCAGTTATACATGACAGCAGAGTGCTCTTCGATTCATTGTACACAAATGGTGCACAATTTTTCACTTATCTGATTGTGCACAAAGTAGAATCACACTATCGTGCAGTCATACATGTACCTAGGGTAATGGTGTCCATCTCATCCCACCATCTTTCCTTCTCCCAGGCCCCTTCCCCACCCTCCCTTTGAGTTTCTTTAACATGAGTCCTTCATACATTTCAAGTGTGATTAAGAAGGCAAAAATGTAACTTACACGTAAGTTTTTAGTAATTGAGCTAAAGTTAATATTTGTGGAAAATGTTTTTTATGTGCAATAGCTTAATTTAATACTTGTTTAGCTTTCTGTTTTATCATAAATGTGATTGTTGGTTCTTTAGGCTTTGACTTAAGTTTTTGCCATTAAAAACACTCCCCATGCCAAATTAAGACCCTCATATTTTATTGCTGAGTTTTTTGTGAATATTAACTCCAATATATCTTATTTTGTAGCATGCCAAGTGCCAGGTGGATTTGCAGGGCACATTTAAGATTTTTTGCATATGAAGACAACCAGTGAGCCCCTCACTGCTGGTCCAGAGAGCCAGAGCTGTGGGGAAGCAGCAGCCCTGGTTTGTCATGGCCAAGCACAATAGGTTCAGCCAGCATCACCTTCCTTTTCTATTTTTGTGTTTATTCTCTGAACCTGAGTAGTGTTGTCATCTGAACAGAAATAAACACAAACAGAAATAAACCAAATAACAGAAATAAACCAAACGAATGTCTGGTTTTGCTGTTGAAATTTAATGGTAAACTTAAAGGTCTCTGACCTTTTCTCCGAAATCACTGGAGCTGACAGCAGTGACCCTGTGCCTGTCTGGTACCTACACTGCTAGAGCCACTTCTCTACTTAGAAGAGCAGATATGAGAAGGAACCTTCTTTAATTTTAGTGGTACTGTGATTTGAAGTTACTTCAATTTTAGGTTGTTTCTACCTTTGAAGTTATATACGGAGGTTTTTTCTAAACCTTAGAAGTGAGGGTCATTCAAATGAGGTGTCTGTTTTACAGTCTTTTATTTCTCTCAGTATCTTTTCCAGCCATGATTTACTTTATGTGACGGAGTGCTGAGGGGAAGAACAGTAACTGGGGGTAATGAAAGAGTGAGTCAATCGGCTGACCCAGAGTTGGTTACAAGAACTGTGTGGCATCTCGGGACTGTGGGGTACGCTGGAAGAGGCATTCAGAGGTGGTGGCCAGTCAGAATGGCTGCACTGAGCTGATCCTGGGCCTTGCAGGTGTGCAGACCCTGCTGTTCACCAGCAGAGTGAGGGCGCCTCTTTGGTTTTGCTGGGAGCATAAAAGCAGTTCTTTGTTCTTGTTCTCAGGCAAGATGGCTGGTGGGTGGAGTGACTGGAGTAAGGCAGGTTGTGTAGAGCCCGGAGGCTCTGGGGCTCTTCCTTCCCTCCCAGGGTGCCCTCTGGAATGGAGCGAAGGCTCTGCTGGCCTGGAGAACACCCAGGGACAGCGCTCGAGAGGGTGCTCTTGTGGAAGTTTTGTACGCGCAGAGGCTGCAGATGACTCTGTGAGTGGTGTGTGGCCTGTGCCTGTGAGTCGGTGGACATGCACTAAGACATTCCGAAATGAGATTGCCCTCAACCTGAGGTTCTGAGACTCCACCATTTTATATTGGGCAGGTTGCGTGACCTCATTGTGCTTTCATTACCTCGTGTGAGGTAAAGGCTTATCACCCTACAGGGTCACATGTGAGCATGTGAGCAGTGCAGTTCACCAGGCCCTTGTCACTGCTGTCCTTAGTAACTGGAGTGGTGGAGGGGTTCCGAGAGCCTGCATCCATCAGCCTCGGGTGGGAGTCTGCACGCACCTATTTGTGTGTGGTTTTATTTTCCAGTGTTCACAGATCATGTTTTCCAAGTTGCATTTTAAAAATGAGTAGATGCAGCCAGGCATGGTGGCGTATGCCTGTCATCCCAGCAGCTTGGGAGGCTGAGGCAGAAAGATCTCAAGTTCAAAGCCAGCCTCATCAACGGCAAGGCCCTAAGCAGCTCAGTGAGACCCTGTCTCTAAATAATACACAAAATAGGGCTGGTGATGGGGCTCAGTGGTTGAGGGCCCCTGAGATCAATCCCCGGTACCACCCCCCTTAAAAAAAAGAGTAGATGCAAATTTATTTTAAATTGTATTGAATTTGCAGAAGTGTTTTTTTTTTTTTAAATCAGGATAGAATTCACATAACATAAAATTTACCACTTTAGAATGTGCAGTGGTTCTGTAATAGTGTATGCAGCGTGCTCAGCCATCCATGCTCTCCAGTCCAGGGGTCTTTTGGTCACCCCAGAAGGACAGCCCGTACCCTAGCACTTCCCGTGGCTGCCCACCCCAACCTTTGGCAACTACAGATCACTAAAGTCTCTTGGGATCTTCCTGTTCTGGGTATTCCGTGTCGACGAGTGGCCTGCTGCGTGGTGTTGTTAAGATCAGTTCACATTGTAGCGGTGTCAGGTATTTCTTTCATTCTGTTTGCACTCATCCGTCCGCGATCGTCTTGGCTGTGTCTGACTCTCAGCTGGTGTGAACACTGGGTCACAGCTTTTTCATCAGTGCACTTTCTCAGTTGTGCATAATTCAAGAAAGACTGGTGTGTAGGAATTGTCAAACCTGACATTTAAAAAAAAAAACAAATTTGCACATTTTTCTGCTATAAAAGAGGCCAAGGGGCCTTTGATGGTGGAGGTTTAAGCCTAAAAGTGACCAAAGCAGAGCGTTGCCCTGCCTGACGGGGCGCAGAGGCTGGGTGAGTGACGGGGAGGGGGCCGCAGTGAGAGCTGTGGGCAGGGCTCCGCTCTTCCTTCAACACATCCTCGCCTGTCTGCCGTCCCGGCATGGAAAGTTGTCCCCATGCTTGTCTCAGCAGTTTCCTGGCACCCCTCCATTTGTCAGTGTGGGGTGACTGGACTGTGGGGCTGAGGAGGTCCTGCCTGTCCCCTCGACCACTTCAGTCCTGCTTATCAGACACTAGCCTTGACCCTAAAGTTCACTTTGAACGTGCACTTCTGCAGCTTCAGAGCGTGGTTTTGGGGCTCACCTCTTTTGTTTTACAAGTGAGGAAGCTGGAGCCCAGGTGAGCTAGTTTTTCTCATGATCACTAGGCTGGTGCCAGAAGTGGGCATTCTGACCGTCAGTCCAGTGCTCTGTCCCCTGGCCCTCACTCCTTCCAGGTGAGGCCCCACTTTGTCAGTCATTGTCTTCCTTTCCTCAAACCAGCCTGCCACCGGCGTACTGCCCGTTCTCATCTCCCTTCTGGGACTTCTTATTCTCTGTCCAAAGCCTATGTGTCCTCCAGGATCTAGGTCGGGTCCCACTTTCTCAGGGAGACTTCAGATTCACCCGAGGAGCTTGAGGACGGTGAGGAGACTGACCTGTGAGTTGAGAGCTCACACTGGGATGTGAGGTTAGTTGGTGTCAGCCTGGTGACGTCTGGGTTGGCAAGGGGGCGAGGAGTGGGAAAAGAGGGGAGGAAAGCAGTGTTCCCACTCCTCGCCTAGGGGAGTATAAATTGGTCAAACTGGTCTAGAAGAATTAACACACATACACGTCCTTTGACCGAGCAGAATTCCACTTCTAGGAATTGGCTGTACTTGATGTGGTGTGATAGGTTACAAACCTAAGATGGGAAGGGGGAGGGGGAGGGGGAGGACTGGCAGGTGTATGCAGAGGTCTGGGGAGATGTCCTCGGTGATGGTTTGGGTTTCCTGTTGCTATCTGCACAACACCAGTGGCCAGGCAGTCTAGCCTGATCCAGGAGAATGACTTCCCATCAGCCGTCCCCACAGTCTGTGGTCAGAGACAAGTCGGAGGCTCCCTCTGCGCTTCAGGGAGGGTGGCTCATTTGTGGGCAGGATCACCTCAGACCCCTTCCTGCCAGGCCAGTAGTTAATTTTTAATGCTGAAAACTTGTTCCTTGAGGGTGGGAATGACATTTGAATAGAGAGCTGAGTAGTGAGAATAAGCCAAGTAAGGTGGGAGGTGGGAGGCCCTGCACCCAGTGGGGTGGTCACCTGTGTTACCTTGGGAGGAGGGGAGGTGGACTGGGGACGCAGGTAGGATTCCCTTTCTTCCCAAATTCACTGAGTGCTTGTGTAGAGGACCAGAGTGACTGTGGAGGCCTGCATTGAGTGGGTGCTGGCTTATGGTCACACCCACCCTCCAGATCCCAGCTCAGCTGGGGCGTCCCTCTCCTGCCGGGTACACAGGGCACCCACCTTCACCAGGCACCGGCTTGTCGAGGCCTGTGCTTGGAGGCCTTGGCTGGGTTCCTTCTCTGTTTTTCTCAGCGCTGCTTCTGTGATAGGGAGAGAGCACTTTCCTCTGAGTGGGAGATCACGTAACTAATTACAATTTGTCCCCCTGGTCTGTGTGCCAGATCTACTTACCTGTGCTGTTGTGAATGCCCAGAAGTTCATCAGAGCAGTGTGTCTGTCTTATCCTACCCAGTTTAAAAGTTGATAAGATTTGACCCTTAGTTCTTCAAATAAATGTATTGGTGATGGTTTGGAAGGCGGGGCGGGGCTGGGGGACAACCTGAGGCTTGCTGCAGGGTGGGGATCTCTCAGAGTTCAGGCTGTGGCACTGTCACTTCTGGAGGGTTTTGTCCTAATTGAGTGATTTTTTTTTTTTTTTCTCCTTTCTGTTGAACTGCTCTGG